CCAATTCTATTAATGCTGCAGTCATAAAGATGTTATATTATTGATCTGAAGAGTGGCTTATCTCTGCTAATAGTGGAAATATATTAGCAATCTAGATATGTTATGCACACAGACACTGTCTAAGATTAATATACGAGTTCAAGTTAACTCATAAGTGCATTGATACATTCCAGGGCTTAATAGCCAGACGTCTCCAAATTTTGTTTAACTACAATTCCCATGATTCTTAGACTGCCGCAACGTGTTTGAGCTTCATAAGAATGGCATCTCAACCTGCATTTTGTCTAGCCCTTGTAGTGTTTTGTAGTTCATTCACACAGAGGACACTTTACAGGGTAATTTACTTAAGTGAGGAACGTCAGAAACTCAAAGAGAATTTTAAACTAATTTACAATTTAAGACAAAGGTAACTTTCACTTAATGAGTTTTTCAAGTTCAAATACTTTTTCCTTAAATTTGACAATTTTTAATTCCTGACAATTCTCACTTTAGTCAGTAGCCTTGTTGACGTGTGTCTGTTCACTGTGTATTCTCTTCTACCCATTGATAACTTGGTTACTGCTTAGATCTCCATGTGCATGTCAGCCTTCATAAATACATTTAGTTTGAAGATTTTGCAAAGTATATTTGTTTTAGCGTTTTGTATTGTTTTCCAGATAATTAGTCTATGTTTATTGTATTGAAAAAAAAAACAAAAAAAAACTTAACATGACTTTATTTTTGTTTTCTTACTTTAAAGAATACGAGAATGTTTTGAGTTAATTTTGGACTGGACACATGTCGCAAATAACCCATTATTTACTCTAGAAAGCAAAAAACAACCAAACATGATATTTGTGTGGCCTTAATGCATTCCAGTTAAGTCATGTAAAATTTGCCATGGAAGTAAATTGCACAAAAAATGCTTAACGGTGCAGCTTACAATGCATATTTTTGTAGAATTTCCATTATTTGGGGCAAAGTTGAGAAAATAAGCAAAACTATTCTGAACCTTGTTCATTTATAAACTAAACTGAGAATGGTGGAGAACTTTACAATGAAATTGCAATTTTAGGCCAGATATTTTTCTAATTCAGGTATTTTGGTCTATATTGTAATGTATGGAATCATCATTTGCAAAATGCAGGCAACAATTTACAAAACTTAGCTATAATCACTGCCTGTTTTGTTTTTCCAGTTTTCAATTCAGTATATTTTGTTGCTTTGTGAATATACCCACTTTGAGAATAAAGCCAACTTTTGTAATATCAGATCTACCATTCAAATTGGTGCTCTGGTTGTCATAATTAAGTAAATTTTTTTACAAAATCTTCAAATAGAAAAAAGAGACTTTACTATTCCTTAAAGTGTTTCTCCAAACACTATGACCACTACAGGGATTTAA